CCCTGGAACCCCCCCCGTGAAAAATTGCACCTTCAAAATTTTAGTGTGGATTTCGACAGATCTCGAAGAGCGCAGTCGGAATGCGCCAAAAAAAAAAAGTAAAAAATTTGGACATGTTTTTCAAAAACCGGTTTCCCGGTTCACCCCCTCTGGGCTGGTCCGGGACCGGTTGGACCGGAAGAGCTGAACCGGCGGATTGCCAGCCCAGCCTTGGTGCAGTGTAGTTTACTAGTTTCACACTTTCTCCACGAAGGCCAAAACATGCACACTACTGAATTACTCCACAATGAGCTGAATTACTCATTGCACTAATTCAGTGCGAAGTACTTCCACACTTTTTCCACAAAAGTCAAAACACACAATACTGAATCAGAAAAAAGATACATTTCTCATATGTAACTAGCACACCAAATTTCGTTTCATGATGAGGGTTGTCGAGCCCATGAAAACTAGCACACCTTCTAGAATGTATGTATCTTGTAATCGCGCAAGCTCTGAGCACAGCTTAGGGACAACCTGCAATTAGCAGAAAAGAAGCAATGTTGTGAGATGTGCAAGGAACATGAATGTGGACGAAGCACAGACATCCAAATTGCAAAATCACGCTGAAGTCTAAGTAGTCAAAGCAAGAGCAGATAGCACATTGGAACCAAGAAACCATCCATTTGAGAACGATACAGCAGAATCGAGAGTCAATGTCCAAGCCCAATCGGGCAACACCAACAACATAATCCAATGTAGCTCTCTCTCTTGAATGGCGCCAGGCGTCCTATCTACTCTACAGCCTATCCCTACAACTACAGCATGGAAGCAACCAGACAACTTGACGACCAGCGAGTGATGACGTCAACACCAATGCCGACCTCCTCTCCACCAGGTACGTCTCTCTCTTCTCCCTCACTCTCCCTTGTTATCCCACACAGCGCCCTTCACCTCTGAAGAACCACCTTCGCCCTCACCTCACTCAGCGCCAGCCCGGCTATGGCTGCCAGCGCCCCGCGCCCAGGCGGCGCCCTACCGCTTAGCGCCAGCCTGCCTTCTCTCAGCCTAGCGCAGCGCAGCACCTCACAATGCTACAGCGTGCCAGCCTTGATCGCAATGGCCAAGATCCCTGCCCACTCGCCCGCTCTGCCTATATGCCAGTGTTGCGTGTGGGCGGTCTCCCTTGAGCCTGCGCCTGGGCCCCAGTACCTGTACCCAGGCCCAATGCAGATGGGGCCCAGGTAATACAGTTGCGCCCCTTATGCTAGGGCCGTTGTCCAGATTCAGACCCCGTACCGGTTTCCCATTGGCTTCCTCGGCCTCTGCGACGAAATACTGCTTTTCCAGGGCCAGGGACCAACGTGTGGTTTGTCGGCCTCCCAGACTGTCGCCCTGGGCTCAACTGCCTTTGCAGGAGTCTGTGGCTCACGATGCACTCCAACCAACTGGCGTGCGGCAACTGTATGATACCCACTTTGTGAAATGTTGAATGAAGGTCTCTTGTGGATAATCTGGCCCGCCTTCACTTAGGGCGGGCACGAGGCTTGCTGGGGGCCTATGCCCAGACCATATGCATGTCGGCAAGGCCCCGTTGAGGGCTCAATCCTCACAGATGTTTCAAAAAAAAAAGAGTTTGTATTGGACAAAATAAGAAAGGCATTGCATCTCCGATGACTATGTTACTCAGTTCAACTGCAAAGCTGTTAACACAACCACGTAGTCATGCTGGGAAATCAAGACACATCATGACTTCTGAAACTGCTTACCTCTTCCCGATACTTCTTCTCCTTTGTCGACATGGAATATATCTCACTCTCAATTTCAACCTGTCTTCGCCTGTGTGCATCATATGGAACAATACCATTGTGAATTTAATAATTTAGTATTTATTTATTTATCAATTTGCAAGGAACATGAATGTGGACGAAGCACAGAAATCCAAATTGCAAAATCACACCGAAGTCCAAGTAGTCAAAGCAAGAGCAGATAGCACAATGGAACCAAGTAATCATCCATTTGAGAACGATACAGAAGAATCGTGAGTCAATGTCCAAGCCCAATCGGGCAACACCAACAGCATAACCCAATGTAGCTCTCTCTCTTGAATGGCGCCAGGCACCTTATCTACTCTACAGCCTATCCCTACAACTACAGCATGGAAGCAACCTGTTACGGACTTCGCCAGGGCTCGATCCCTGGTCTATCTTTTGCTGTTTCGGCTGCATCCCGTTTTCGGCCTGGCACCCCTTTTCCAAACCCTCCTTTTGGTACCGTAGGATTTTGGACAACTGCCGCCATGCTGCAATTCGGGCGCCACTTTCAAATACTGCACTTTTCAGTTCTGCCCTCGGGGCCTTTGCAGAAATGCCCCTGGTACCGTACGTGTCACCGGTACTTAT